GAATCAAACTCTGATAAGTAATTATATATGCAGACATAACTACAGGAACCAGGATAATGGAAAGGAAACAGGAAGGTAAAGGAAAAGAAAGAACCTAAGAATGAGAACAGTAGGAAACAGGTGTTACTGAAGGAGATATGGATAAATATGGGGTTATTTAAATGGTAGGGGGACAAGGAACCTTGGGGATAAAGGGAAATAATTGTAATGTTTTTAAAAGAAAACCCCAAATATATCGAATCGTCTGCTGCAGACACTCAGAAGTGGCACATGACATAAAATATGGTGTGTAAAATTATTTCAGTGGTAAACTTAAAAATATACCTATAATAAGCTCAGCATGTTGGCTCAGACCTTTAATCACAGCACTCAGGAGGCAGAGGAAGGCAGATTTCTATGAGGTCAAGGCCAGGCTGGCCTACAGGTCGACATAGCTAGTTGCAAGCCAGCTTGGGCTACAGAGAGACCCTGTCTGAAAAAGAAAGGAAAAAAAAATACAAAAATAAAACAAAACAAAAAAACTATAATCTTTCTGAAACTCTTTATAGGAACAATATAGGAAATAATGTGGAGACAACCACTTTCCCAAAGTACGCTGAATGGCTGAATGGCAGAAACAGAGAGATGGTTCAAGTATTGAATGGGAAGAGTCATGTGGGACATTTACAGTGTTCTGTGTATTCCTTTTTTTTTTCTGAACTTTTTGAGATGGTCTCTCTCTGTAGCACCAGCTGGACTGCATCCATCTACATAGGTAGACCAGGCTGTCCTCGATTTCATGTAGATCTGTCTGTCCCTGCTTCCCTAGGGCTGGGAATAAAGGCATGCACCAACACAACTTTCAATTTCTGATCTTAACAATGACTCACAATGAATAACTGAATAGCCTGCAAAAACTCATTGGTAGCTGGGCATGGTGGTGCATGCCTTTAATCCCAGCACTTGGAGGCAGAGGCAGGTGGTTCTCTGTGAGTTCAAGGCCAGCCTGGTCTACATAATGAGTTCCCGGAAACCTGGGGCTACAGGGAAACCCTGTCTCAAAAAGACCAAAAAACAAAAAGCAAACAAACAAAAAAAAACCTCATTGGTTGGTAACATTAACATCAGTGTAATCAACTATATAGAAAATTTTCTAAGAAAATTATAAAAAATATAGCTTTTTTAAGTTAAAAGGTAAAAGAACTGTTCAATTAAAAGAAACCCTCTAACTGTAGTAATCCACTTGAGTTCCTGAAATGGTTGAATACATTTGAACAAATTTTCCCCCCTTCTGCAAACACTATTTCATTTGCAGGGTGAACATGAGGAAAGAAGACAATATATTGAGTAATATCTCTAGAACTCTCATTCCTGGGTCACTGAGTGACAGGACTGATTGATTCATCACATAAAGAAAGACAAGAGGGGCCTGCAGACATGGTTCAGTGGTCAGATACTGGCTACTGTTACAGAGCACCCAGGTTCGGTTCCCAACACTCAGGTGGTGGGTAACAATGTCCTTAACCACAGTTTCACTTCCAGTGGATTCCAAACCCTCTTCTGACCTCCATGGGCAGTGCAGGACACGGAAGCACTTACATATATGCAAGCATCACCCTCATAGAGTATCATAGTTTTTTTCTCCACAGCTGTGACAAAATACTCTGACCAATACCAACTTGAGGCGTAATGGTTTATTTATCGAACATTTCCCAAGTCACAATTCATCAGGGAGTCCAAGGTAGGAACTCAGAGCAGGAAACTGGAGGTAGGAGCAGGAGCATAGTCTTTAGAGGACTGATACTTGCTTACTTGCTCCCCTGGCCCTTGATCAACTTGCATTGTTATACAATACAGGCCCACCTCCCCAGGGATGTCAGCACCCAGAATGGGCTGGACGATCCCCCCTCACTCAATAATCAAGAAGATGCCCAGACACATTCACAGACAAGTCCAAAGGAGATAATCCCCCAATTGAGGCTCCCTTAACCCAGATATATCAAGTTGACACAGAAGCTATCCAGCATAACTGATCCCTTGTCAACTTGATACACAAATACATCACTATTAAACCACAACCTATTGATTTCTTGTCCCTCAAATATGATGTTGACATTAATATCACAATATAAGACAGTACAAACATTACAGTGTCAAGTCTCTGCTGCTCTCTGGGATCCCTTCAAGCTTTCAACACCAGAACCATTCAGGAGACTTTTACATTACCAAGTCTGCTTCCAGCTTGAGTTGGAGTCTCATATCACCTCTGGATCCCAGGTCCTGTGCTGACCCTGAGAAAATACTTTGCAGAAGATTTTGCCAAAGTGATGCCGGTCTCTTTTTAATTGCAGGTGATTGTTCAGCTCCAGCTAACCAGCATCAATTGTCCCCATAAAGAAAATGCTTAACTTCAGTCTCTTAATCACAGCGGATTCTTCAGTCCCAGAAAATGAAACCAAAGGGTCTCAATTCAAGATATCACACAAATGGCCCTTATAGTCTCTGCTTCCTTTTGAAGCTTCACAAGCAAGGCCTTCATTGTGCACAACTCTTTCAGCATATGACAGTTCCAAGCTCTACAGCAATAGAGTCTAAGCACTGGATGGCTTTTCCAGCATTAAATTTCTGAATGCTTCCATAATCCTCCTAAAAACACCAAGGTCAGGATTGTCAAAGCAATGCCCCACTATCTGGTACCAATCTCGATTTACTTTGTTTCTTCAATTCAGTAACGAAATACTTTGGCTAATACAAAATTGGGAAGAAAACAGTTTTATTTTCTCTTAGTTATTCTGGGACACAATTCATCAGGGAGCCCAAGGTAGGAACTCAGACAGGAAACTGGAGGTAGGGAAGAGGCACAGGCCATGGAGGAGCATTGCTTACTGGCTTGCTCTCCTGGCCTCTGATCAACCTGTATTCTTATACAACATAGGCCCACCTTCCCAGTGGTGGCAGCACTCGAGTGGGTGGGACACTGGAACCCTCCCACATCACTCAATAATCAAGATGATGCCCCACAAACTAGGCCACAGCCAAGTCCAAAGGATGAAATTTCAAAATGAGGTTCCAAATCCCAGGCTGTCAAGTGGACACTAAAGGTATCCAGAAATTTTAAAAAGAGTTAAGAGGAAAGATTAGAAGTTCTCAAACATTAGTACATAAAATATTTTTCCACAGTCACAAGCTCAGAATAGGAAATACGTGAGGAAATGTTGGATTAGTTCAAAAATTTTCCACCACTCTCATGTCACATTTATCAATGTGAAGAGTTCCTAGATAAAGATAGTTCACAACTTGATTATGATAACATTTATTTTGTGAAATGCACTATGAATTTGTGCTGCACATCATGACATGTGAAGAACACACTGTACATGACTCATGCTCTGTAGTGAACATGCACCCTCCTTCATGTTATTAGTGTTCTTCAATCAGAGCGTATTAAATCCATTCTCTGGTTATTTTCCAAGGAGAACGTATAGTGATAACTAAGGTACTCCCTCTTTTATTTTGTATTCTTTTATTTTTTAAACTTTTTGAAACAGAGTCTCCCTGTAGCCCCAGCTGTCCTGGAACTCACTAGTGAGATGAGGCTGGCTCACAGGCATCAACCTGCCTTTGCTTCTCAAGTGCTGGGATTAAAGGTATGTACCTCCACGCTTGCAACTAAGGTAATCTCTATGTTTTTAGCTTATTTCTAATTTGAAACTGAATTTTATCTATTTTCTCTCATATTACCACACAGTCCATTGTGGATTGTTTTCATCTGATCTACAATTGAAAAAAATTATTTAGCAGATTAATATTAAACTTTGGCTCCATCTTTACACACAGGTCTTTATCCTTCTTTACTTATGTCCTCTCAACTACGCCCCTTATTTATCCACTTAAACTTACCTGGTTGGCTACAGCCTCCCCTCTCTTCACATTCCAGGGATCTTTGCTTTGCTCCAGGCAGGAGACCAGAACAGGCTTACACACAGCAAGTCCTGCATATGAGAAAGAGGACAGGATGCTTGCTGGACTCTTTAGAAAGTACCAGATTTGTAACACAGCACTATGCTCCACTGATAATACTCAGAAAAACAACAGTCTCTGAATAACTACACAATTTTTATTTTCTGACAGTCTCATTAGAATATACAGGACTTTTTTCAGTTTTCGTATTGTGAGTTCTATCACTGATTCACAATTCAGCTATGGCAATAGAACTTTAAGATTCTGGCTACAGGGACTGGAGAGAGAGATCAGTGGTTAAGGAAACTGACTACTCTTGCAGAGGATTCACGTTCAATTCCCAACACCCACATAGCAGCTACAATCCATCCTTGACTCCAGTTCCAGGGAAACCTGATACTGGTGCACTCATGTACATGCAGGCAGCACACTTAGACACATAAAAGTAAAATATATATGTAAAAGAAGATTCTGGCTATGGGGTTAAAGTATCATGTTCAGTATGTAGCTGAAATTAACAACAAAAATAATGAAAATGGATAACTCCTCTAACAAGTGGAAACGGAAAGAAATGATTAAACATAAACGTGTTCTTCACGATGCCCAGATAGTCCCATGACCTAATTTTTAAAGAATCCAAGACTTAATTAGCAAAACTAACATATGCACAAAGTAGGTTATAATTTGTCAAATGATCCAGGAGAGTAAAAAATTCTCCAATAAAAATCTCCTCACCTATAGACACCAGATTGTGGTAGTTCTCCAACATCACTTCACTGTACAAAGCCCTCTGAGCAGAATCTAGGCATTCCCATTCTTCCTGGGAGAAGTCTATGGACACATCCTTGAATGTCAATTCCTGAATTAAATGAGAAATCTGAATTAATAAAAAGGATATTTCATACTGGAGTAACTATCTATAATCTACTCACAAACTCTGTGCAAAAAAGACCCTACAAATTTTTATGGAGATTATGATGTTAATGAGCATAGCACATATATTAAGCCATCACCATAGGAACTGCATTTCACTCCTATATTAGTAGCATACAAGACCAGTAGTATATATTTATCTGATGTAAAGTTACACTGATTATAAGTCTGCTTCATAAATTCGAATGTTTATAACCATGCACTTTAGTCCTAGCTGAAACACAGATTTTCACCTTAACATGATCTTTGGCTGGACCTGACTTAACCCTTTCCTTACAGACTTTGCAGTGAGGCCAATGCCCCAGGTACAAAAGACATGTTCTCCAACAGCACTGAGTAGAAGATTGCAGGAAATAAAGAGCTCTGTGTCCTCTCCTCCACAGCAAGAAGACACAATCCTTGTAAAGAAAATCCTACACTCTGCATGTACTATAGAAATTATAGAAACAACAGGCCATCATTATTCTCACCATATTTTATAGTGATTTCTTCTATCATCATTTATGTACTTAAAATTTACCTAGAAGGAGCACACGGGCTGACTTATGTACATCACAATAAGAGGATCTGAGAAAGGGCTCCTCACCGAAGAGTAACAAAATCATGAAGACAAGATCCAACACCTGCTGAACAACGTTGACACTGTGTACACAAATGCTTCCAAAATCAGACAACTACATGTGTGTAACATTTGATAAAGGGAGCTCTTTTCTGAGGATGAAACAACCAGTAAAGGAGGCAGTGCTGTGATTCAGCCAACAGAGAGAAAGAGAGCCTGCCTCAGAATCTCCACTTTGAGAACTCAGCATTTAGCAAAGAAATGAGAAAGATTTCTTTCTCTAAAGAAAGGAAGAAAAGCACAAGTGATGAAAGGAGAGAGTCTGCACTAAATGTCATATTTCATGTGCTTCATCCTGTAAACTACCAGAGGAAAACTTATTCCTAACAAATTAAAAACAATGATGTCAATGTCTGATATTTGGTGATGAGTAGTTCAACCAAGGGAATCAACTACCCTGAGACAAAAGAATACAGGTGTCATCAAACCAGCAGCACATTCCATCAGCCCTGTGATATTGGTGGGATTAAATGTTGAGCAAAATAATACAATATCTGAATAAAATAAAACAAAAATGTCAGTTTTATGTACAGTTCAAACAACAATACAGTGGCATATGAGGACCCAAGTCCATCCTCCTTAGAAACTGAAGACTGACATGTTTTAATTTTCACCTATCATATCAGAAACATTTTTGAGAAGGTTGGTCATGAATTCATTGGATTAGGCTGGAAAGCATAAGCACTGGAGGACAAAATGGAGAGGTGGATATGCTACATAGGTGATACATATGAAATGTGGCCCGGGTATGGTGGTGCAGGCCTTTACTCCAAGGACTCATGAGGTAGAGGCACGAGGATCTCTGTGAGATCCAGGCTAGCCTGGTCTATAAAGCTAGTTTCTGAATGAGACAAGATTACAAGTTCAAATTCCCAAACACTGAGAAAGAAAGTGTACGAGATCCAGACCCTTGGATGTATTTACCTGAACAGAAGCCATCTCTCTCCTTCTGTGAGTTTCCTTTCTAGGCAATACATAAACAGTCTCTCTCTTTCAAGAAACTTTTTTTCAGTTTACTGAAAATTCTCTTCACCTGTCAACATAAAAAGAGGAAGAAACGGGACAGAAAACAAAACAGGCCCCTGTACTGTCTGCTGTTACAGTAGATGCACAGGAAAAAAGCTCAACAAGGAGACTCCATAGAAGTTTCTGCTTTTATGCCTTCAAGTGGCCCGCCCTGCCAACAAGATCAAAAATTTCTACTACATTCAGGGACTGTAACTCTCTCACCTCCTAATTAAACAAGGCAGAGTAACATGGTTTTTATCCATTGCAACAGAGGGTAAAGTAAGCTCTCTTTCAGAAGCACTGGTAGCTTACCACCAACCTCACTCTGTTCTGCCTGCAACACTCATTTAAACAGCACTGATGCGTCTACTTAGCTTCATGGACAAAATGGGGGGGGGCTCAAGTGAGAGTTTTTCTTTTAAAGGCTGAAGTTCAGGATTAATTCACTGTGAGTTTTAAAAGTCTATTCTTGGGACTATAGAGATGTTTCAGAGGTCAAGAATACCGGCTGCTCTTGCAGAGGACGTGGGTTCCATTTGAAGTACCCACATGGTGTTAACAATTTTACTGAACACCTGTTCCAGGGGTTCCCACTGTCTTCCGGCCTTCACAGACACTGCTGATATGGCTGCACATACATACACGCAAGCATAACAGTTTCACACATGAAAAATAATAAATAAATAAATAAGTTTTAATAAAACTGAAAGCACTATTGTCTGAGGACACCATATTTTACATATCTGTGACATTACCATGATATTTTGTTACACATATACATTGGATAATGATCTGGTCAGTCATTAATATATCCACATGTAAAATTTTATCCTTTCCTAAGGTATTTGTATCCAAATTGATATTTTCTAACAACTTTAATATATAAAATGCAACTTGGATTATTTTATTTACCTTGTGGTGGCATAGAACAGAAGAACTTAGTTAAGCCCTGAAGCCATGACACTGTTTCTGTTATTTACCCCACATCTTCCCCATTCATGTAAACTTCCATTGTACCTCCACCATCT